AAGAGGCAATCAATTTGCAGCACCACAGAAATTTGTTCTACAAAAAATGATGTCTGTGATAATTATAAAGTTTCGGTATAAAGCGAAACGAGAACGAGAAGCGAACCAAAACCTCCGGGTCACAAATCAAGTGCCCATATATTGTGCTTCTGTCACAAGGTATTTTAGAAGATTCACGAAAGGAAAGGATAATATTTCAACGAAGAAAGGGATAAAATGCATAATTAGATAAGTGGCTTTTGTTTATAATTTAAACATTATAATTTTATGATACATTTCCTACATTTACTGTAAGACAAAAAGAAAACAAAAACAATATTTTCATGATTTATATTCACATTTTGAAATAGGTTTGCCTTCAGTGTTATGTCTATATGAGTCGCCAAGAGGAAAACAATGCCAGTGTCCTTCAATGAATAGTTTATAAAGGGTATTGATATAAAATCATGACTTCCGCAATACTAGGAATTGTAAAGACGTTCTCAGGTATGTGTTATAACAATAGCACAGAGGATGCAATAGCAAAAAATATATTATAATGAAATTAATTGATGAGCAAAGGTCTTTCTTAATAGAAATAGGACTTTTGACATTTTTTAAAATTTAGAATTAAACGATAAATTGGTCATTTATATGTAAAAAAAAAAAAATAAAAATTTGTGACAGTGTATTTAAAAAGATTAAAATTGCTATGACTGTTATTAACTTTATCAAATGCTAAGCTAACGTGAAACGATGCTTACTTTTGCTATTAAAATATCTAGCAAAAGCAAATTAAGGCAAAATTAATTTCGTTCTTTTACAAAACTCATCTAAATTCATGTAAAAATACTGCCTTTATTGAACGTCAAAAATATGTAACATTTGTGAAATTTTGACAATTTATATTTACATAATGATTTTTTTCCTTAATTTTTTTTAAATCAATCACTGAAAGTATGTTCCAGTACCCCCTGGTACTTTTGTAATAAATATATATTGATTTAAAATATTAATAAAAAATCTTGACTTCCGAAACGTGGATTGTTAAAGTTTGTTTTGATCTCTATTACACGGTATACAATTGAACTAGAATATACCACACGAAAATAAATGAATGAGCACAGGTCTAGGTCTTCTACGGATAGAGCCCCCAACCCCACTGACAAAATAAATCTTTGGATATCCTCTTCCAAACGACTAGCTAAAATGGCCCCACTTAAATTTTTTTAATAACATTTTTATGAATATATTACCTATCATCTATAGTCGGGAGAGGGCCAACAAGATATTTCAAAGTCTAACTTGTCATCTTGAAATTTAGGGTGTTGATAATAATTGTTGTGTGATGTGTTGAATGTGTATTGTTTCATCTTGTATATTATTAGTAACATTTAGTTTCTTGAACATTCCAGAGTGGTCAACATGTTCGGTCATTTGATCTAGAACATTCTTAAATTTTGTGTATGTCCAGATTGTTCCAGTAATATCATGTTTTAACAATTTCTAGAATATTCTAGATTCATAATACTGTATAAATACCCTGTCAATTCGATGCATAAAGATACTTTGTCGTATGAGCACCATTGAGATACAACTGGGATATATTTTCACTGGGACATTGTGTGCAGCAACGGACACTCTGATGTATGTATTTTTAGATTCTTGCTAAGTTTGTACTTTATGTTTCATATACTTATTATATATTACTGTAAATAAATTATTGTTAAGTTTAAATTGTGTTATTGATCTTTGCTGGCATTTAGGGTTACTCTGACCCATAACATAATACCTGTAAAATATTACCAAGTCGTTGAAATAAAATATACGTCTTTTATTTTCGAAGTGTCCAGCAAAAGTGTTGCATAATATAACATGACATAAATTATGATATTTGTGGTATTATCGAGGATAAAATATACAGGTAGTGGCGTAACATTTTTTCCGACTTGTTCTCTTCATTTTAACCTGTTTCACTCATTCCAATTAAACTATAAATGTGTATATTCATGTTATAGTTTTGCATTCCAGCAGTCTACCTATCTACAAAGTTGTATTGAAGTCAGACCAAAACTGTAAGAGGGGTAGCATTTTGAAAGCATTTCACATAAATTTCTATTTTTAGTAACGACGGCAACACCGTTCATCTAAATCAAAAACCGATAAATAGAATTATTTATCTAAGTATAGTGTACTTGTGTGCCAAGCTATATTGAACTCAAACCAAAACTGTAGGAGGAGCAGCATTTATAAAAATTGTAACAGACAGACGGACGTATAACTGTCACATAAGCTCTTCTGGTTCCTGACCAGTAGAGCTATAAATACGATTTTTTACGATCTAGTTTAACAGGAAACTGACAAAAAAAAACTGTGTATAAAAGTAATGACAGTGAATTAGTTTCTGAAATCGCCTCTTCCTGGATGAACGATTGGATACTTGATCAAAGTAAGAACATTCTTGTTTGATAGATTTTTCTCTTGCCAAATTATTCATACTTATAAGGGACATCGCCTCTTATATGTGTAATATTAAAAGGCTTAAAATGAAGGCGTTCATGACCATTAAAAATTATGTTTTTAAATGTGTCAAATTTGTTTGAACATTACCTCTTGGTGTCCACGTCTCATCTTAAAAAAATACCTGTAACTTCAGAACATATAATATTTCAAGCAAAATCACATCTTATTTCGTATAAAAACGTACGGAAGACAAACTCGTTTGCATGCAAAGAATTTTCAATATAAATTTTAAAGTGTTTTACGATATTAGATTAATAGAGCATTATATTAGGGAATAACAATCTTCTAATTTGGTGTTTGCGACCTTTAATGCTGATTTAACGGTCTAAAATACCCAATTGGAAGATTTTTATTTCTATTCTAATGCAACCTATGCATTTTGTTTGATAATAACGTCCTTTTAATCCTTGAGCCAATGGGGTTGGTTGGTACCAGTTTGGGTGAATTAACTTAATGGTGATATATTTTAAGGTATACACCTAACAAGTGGGCAAATGTATGATTGCATCAAATCCGCTGTGGCTCTAATGCTGGAGAGAGAGTTATTGCCCTTAATTTATTCAAATTTGGTATCTTTAGCTTAATATTTGCAACCTCAAAATTTTTTTGTCACACAGTCGCTTACCGTAATAAAAAGTTCTACATGGACTAGACTGAATGTGAAATTAGTAAATATATTAGTAAATATGAGGATGGCAGGATTTAAGGAACATTATCTTAGTTACTGGCTATATGTCTAAGAAAAATGCATATTTCTTTTAACATTTATTCAACAATTACCCCATAATTCTGTAAAACTAACAAGATAAGAAACGACATATATATTTTGATACAAATGATTCTGCACATGTGTAGCCTATTTTTGATGTCAAAAATGTAAATCAAATTACCAGTTTTTAATAGAAGCTAGAACACAAAAGTGTCCATTATTACCATTGTTTAGCTTGAGATTAAATAAATAAAACATTTTACATATAGGTTCTACTTGAGAATTGACATATTCACAATGTATCATTACCAATCATGTTCATTATCATTGTCTTCCGTATTTTCATTCTCACTCAGTTCATTGTCTAATTTGTGACGGGATTCTCGATTTTCACATTCAGCAAGTTTACACGTATCAGTACAGTTAAGTCCATTTATTATACACAAACATTCCGAAAATGTACATTTTTCACACAGTTACAGGCTAACAAATCAAGTATTGCTTCAGGAGCTGGCTGAAGGTCCGTCCAATGCACTACTCAATGCTGTACACCTTCTTCCATCTTTCAACCTCTTCCGACTGGACTATCACAAGACGAAATACCACCTTTAAGCAATCGCTTAATGGTAGCTTAATGGTGACTTAATGGTGGCTTAAAGAAGTTATTTCCTTTAAGCCACCATTAAGCCACCATTAAGCTGCAACTTACAGGTGCTTAATGTTCAAACACCATTAAGCTACCATTAAGCCACCTTTAAGCTGAGCTTAATGGTGACTTAATGGTCAAATCTCATTTAACTTTTACGCATCTTATTTATATCGAATCTTTGAAATAACTTTTAAGTTATTCCAATATCATTTGCACAAAATATATTTCTACTCATATTTTTGTCTCGATCGTCATTTCTATGTAACATTTTTGTCATCATGCATAAACTCGTGCACTGAGAACAAAGTTAGCTAATAGCCAAAGGGGCTTGCTCCCGCTGTCTAAGAAACAAGACCTTTCAGTTAAAACTGAAAGGCGGCTTTCAGTAACTTTTCAGTGGCCATTCAGCCACTGAATGGCACATACATTTCAGTGACCTTTCAGTTGCCTTTCAGTCACATTTCAGATACCTTTCAGTCACCATTCAGCGGACACATTTCCGTCAACTTTCAGTGGCCTTTCCATCAACTTTCAGTGACCTTTCCATCAACTTTCAGTGACCTTTCCGTCGTCTTTCAGTGACCTTTCCGCCGACTTTCAGTGACCTTTCTGTCGTCTTTCAGTGACCTTTCTGTCGTCTTTCAGTGACCTTTCCACCACCTTTCAGTGATATTTAAGTCTCAATTTAGCAATTTTTTCACTAGCGTATTATTTTATAATCAGATATTTTTCCTTAACAAGGAAGCAATATTTTGAATAAAGATTTATTATTCAATCTTACTTGTGTTTTTTTACTTATCGTGATCATATTCAGGTACCTTAAAATATGTCTAGGTAATTATTATTTTTAATTACAAGAATAAATAAATCGTTTATACATGCCTCTTGTAGAAAAAAAATATATAGGAGATTTTAGCTTTCTAAATGATATTGCTTTCATAAAATTATTCTACTAAGTTTCTAGATAGAGAATTTACAACGATCTTAAATATTTAACATAGGAACAGGTGCCCGTCTCTGATAATTGTCATCATCCCGATAGGAGATGTGTAATTAATTAGTCTGTCCCCAAAATAAAATATGTGGGACTTATTCAAAATGATTTTTAATTTAAAATTTCTAGTTACATTAAGAAAAAAATATACATTTATGAACATAAAACATTTATGGATACTGTTTTCATATTTACCGCCATTGTTTATAAATATAACACTGTTTCCTGTAGTTGCGCGTGCGCATCCTGATAGCGTCACTCGCCATTTTTCATTCTTTGTTTACATATTCCTGTGAAAGTTTTTAACTATTTTTCGATATCTGAATGGATGTATAGCACTTGAGATCAAACGAATAACATCCTACACCTTCTAGAGACTTGGCACAACGCATCTGAGGTAACTTAACCCCTTGGTTTGCAGTTATTTGACCTTTCTTTATATGATGCAAATCTGCGAAGATGCTGTTATAGGCCAGAGCGTAGGCTCATACGATAGGTAGATTCCTTCACCGCTTCTGCGACACTTTCTGTGTGGACGTAGGATCCTTTCCACTAAAGGCGAGTCAAATCAAATCATAGACTAGCTGAGTTATAAAAAAAACGGACATTGGATTAGTTTTAGGGTTTGTGATTGTTCATAACATTCCATAGGTCACGTGACAGAAATTTAGAAATCGGACTATGGCCATTTTATTCATTGGTGACTCTCATGTGAAGAGATTCAGTGCATACATTGGCAACAGAAAACCTTCATCGGAGTTATTTGACATTGAAAACCTCCCACAGGTAAAATTTTTCGGAATCAGCGGGGGGGCGGTTAAGAATCCGCGCCATCTGCAGTCATTATCAACAGTAGCCCAACAGTATCGACCTACATGTCTCATTGTCCATCTAGGTGGAAATGACTTAGACCGCAGAGAAGATACAGTAGATCTATTAATTCACGGACTCGTGGCCTTTTTGACTCAAATCCGCACACAATTCAATATTAACAAAATAGTAGTGATGAGATTGATACCTCGAGAGAGGACAAGACATATTGACCCACAGGAGTACAACGCCCGAGTGCTACGTGCTAACTCAACCCTCAAAACTCAATGCCAACAAGTTGGCCTCTCTTATTGGAGGATGAAAGGATTTACAAACACCAGAGACAATATTTTCTGTGATGGCGTGCATCTTAATTCCTTGGGGATGAGAAAATATTTCAGACAATTGAGAGGAATTCTCCTGTCCCTGCAACGCTAGACACAAATTATCTTTGCTAGCCATGATGACGGGTGCTTCTGGCTAAGCGTACAATATAATAGATATTATTTATATGTAGAAAGGCTATCAGTTCAGTCTGCAATGTTTTAAATTATTGTTATTTACTATGTTACTACGACATGCATTATTATTTCAATTTTTACTCTCATAACCATATTTTAGGATAACACAAATTACAAGTATTATATTATTAATTTAAGGATTTACTTTGTTGACACAAACAGATGGTAATTGTTCTTTTAATTATTATGTTTTCTTATTTTCAGCAACCATTTTACCTGCATCTCTATATTTTCATATTCGATTACAGCGATTAACCATCTTCATTCAGGTATATATGAATCGTTTCCTTTATCTCAAACAACGGGATATTTATGGGATGAGTGGGTCACCCAGTAATTTCTCTTATTGAACCAAGCATATGAATGTAGAATAAGCTGGGTTGGCTCACTCTTCTACAATTTGTGGAAATTGCACTTCCACAACTTAATGAAATTTATGTTAGCTCTGGCTAGATGATGTTTGCAGTACGCAATGGTCTGCAATTGAGTCACCCTTTGTAGTATATGACTACTTTAGCACTGGCTATTAATAATGCTTCATGGCAATTGAAGAATTATATTTAGCACTAATTAGACAAGTAGGTTAACGCTTAGGTTTCTAGGTCAAGTTATTTTATTTAACAATTTAGCTCTGGCTATTTTGGAGGGTGACTCGTAGTAGCTCTGGCTACTTAGCTCTGGCTACTTATTATAGCAATGGCTTTATTTCCTTGATTTAGTAGCTCTGGCTACTAGTAGTTGTTTTCATAGGATTCTAAGGCAAGGAATTCATTGTACACTTCCATTATACACCGGTATATCACAGGTATTCCATATTAACTATGTGCCCTTAAACAACTATGGTTGTGGTACAGGTTTATGGCATTGTGTCAATGGTGGTGTGCAATTTTATTTCCTTTAAATTAAGTCGTTATTTATTACTGAGTTATTTTGATTTTATTGCCAACGTCGTCGTTTTCAGGATTATGGCTTCTCGTCCAAAGAGGCGTAGGACCAAACCTTCCTCAACCGATAACCAATCTACCCAGCCAGATAACGATTCAACCCAACTGAAAAACCTAGTTACAGAATGTATGGCTGCAGCGTTACCTATCATCGAAAAGACTGTAAAAGAATGCATGTCCAAATTGAACACCGCACAACCAGCAGCCAGCCAACAGCCAGCAACGACTGGACAGCCGGAAGACAGATCGGATGAAGTCTCAAATACTTCGACGTTCAATACCATTGTAAATAATCAAGACACCACCACAGGTACTAATGCCTCAATTTCTCAAAATAATTTGCAAGAGAATATTTCCCAGGTGGGAATTTCAAAACCTGTGGGACTGGGGGTGGACATGAAAATTAAAACCAAAATATTCGCAAATGAATATATCAAACTTGCCACTTTAATCCCCAAGTCAAGCTTTGAGCAGGAGCCAAAATTCAAATCAGTCGAGAAAGATGGACAATTGATTTTTATTAAATCTAATGACACCTCCCAAATAAAAACCATTGCACAGTGGATGGAGACCTTTCATGTCTTTGTGGCGATCTACTGCGTAAAATACCCGGACGAGGTTGGGCAGCTCATGACATACGCACAAATCATTCAGGGCATAGCGAAGTCCTGTGGAGATGAAGCTGCCATAAGTTACGACGAGAAATTCAGACAGTGGCGTCAAGTTGCCCCACGTGCTTGTCCTTGGGATACAAAAAACTCTGAACTTTTTCATGATGCAATGGTTCAAGGTTTTGAAGCAAAAACAAAAGTAAAGAAGCAGCCCTTTCGTGCAACTCCCTCAAAACAGAAATACTGCTTCACGTTTAATAATACAGGCTCCTGTAACAGAGGAAACTCTTGTCCATATGCACACATATGCCAATACTGCTCCAATAAACACTCGAGGCTTCACTGCACAAAATATAAGCAAGGCCAACACAGTGCAGCAAATGCAAAACCCTCCAATAATGACCAGCGCAAGAAACCCTCAACCCTCACCAAAAAAGATTGATGAATCTGTTGTTACCCCAATAAATGCTGACAAATTTGCTGAATATCTTCAGGACTATGACCCTGCTCTATCAAACTTTTTAATCGAAGGTTTTAAATCAGGTTTTAGAATTCCATACCAAGGCCCTCGTGAGTTCCGACTTTCTAAAAATTTAGCTTCTTTGCAGGGAAAGGAAGGTGTTTTGTGGCAAAAGTTAAATAATGAGATAGAATTGGGTAGAGTAGCTGGTCCATTTCCCTCCCCCCCATTTCCTAATGTGCAAGTTTCACCTCTTGGCCTAGTTCCTAAAAAGAACCCTGGTGAATTTAGATTGATTCACCATTTGTCTTATCCCGAAGGGTTGTCAATCAATGACCACATTCCACATGAATTTTGCACCGTGCAGTACCAAACCATAGAGCATGCTATCTCAATCATTAGGGATATTGGGGTGGGGGCACTTTTAGCTAAAACTGACTTAGAAAACGCTTATAAACAAGTACCAGTTCACCCTAGTGACTTTGAATTGTTAGGTTTTAGTATTCATGATCAATTTTATTTTGATAAAACTCTCCCCTTCGGTCTTAGTTACTCTTGCAACCTCTTCGAGAAATTCAGTTCAGCCTTGCAATGGATCCTTCATGCAAAATTTGATGTTGCACACTGTGTGCACATTCTTGATGACTTTCTCTTTATTGGTTACCCAAACTCACAAGGGTGTCATAATGCACTTCAGGCATTCCACACTCTCGCAAATGACATCAACCTACCAATTAAGTCTGAGAAAACAGTAATGCCGTGTACTACACTGACCTTTATGGGCCTAGAAATAGATTCCATCAAATTTGAGATAAGACTGCCAGAAGACAAATTACATCGCCTGAAAGATACAATATGTATTTTTAAAAGGAAGCGTACTGCTACCCTACATGAGTTACAGTCCCTCATTGGCCTGTTAAATTTCGCATGCTCGGTAGTGCCACCTGGAAGAACATTTCTTCGTAGAATCATTGACCTAACTAAGGGTATTAGAAAGTCTTATCACCACCGCAGGTTGAATGCTGAGGCTAGGGCAGACCTACATGCTTGGTCTATTTTTCTAGAACATTTTAATGGTAAAGCACTTTTCCATTCTGGGGAAATATACACTTCCAAATCCCTACATCTTTATACAGACGCTAGCAATTTAGGATTTGGGTGTACTTTTGGCAGGAAATGGTTTTACGGCCCCTTTCAGCAACAGTGGCTAGAATACCATATTTCAGTAAGAGAATTTTTTCCCATTGTCCTCGCAATGGAAATGTGGGGTGAGGGGCTCTCAAACACATCAGTTGTATTACACTCAGACAACAGTGCGGTGGTTCATGTTATAAACAAAACCTCCTCCAAGGATCCCAATTTGATGAAATTAATGAGACGTCTTATGGTAGCATCTTTAAAATTCAACATTCATTTCCATGCTGAACATATCCCAGGTCTTCATAATATTGCACCTGATCTTCTCTCTCGCTTGCAGATACAAAGATTCAAGGAACTCTTTCCCAACATGGATATGGAAGAAACGATGGTTCCGCACAAGCTCCTACACCTCTGATCAGAACAGCAGACTTTCTTATTAGGAACTCCCTCTCAGAAGACTCTTTGTCATCCTATAAGAACATATTTGCAACTTACAAACGTTTCATTCATGCCCATGTTGATAGAAATGCAGATCCCCTGCCACCATCGCTTTCTCATTTGTTACTTTATATTGCGCATTGCTACCAGTTAGGCTTGGCTGCTTCAACGACCCGCACACACATAGCTGCACTAAGCTTTACCTTTCAACTCGGAGGCTATCAAGACCTTACACAAAGCTTTCTGATCAAAAAACAATTACAAGGATTTAGCAAGGTTAAGCCATCTATTGACAATAGATTACCTATAACACCAGACATTTTGTCAAAAGTTGTAGCCGCTCTACCATCCATAACAACTTGTGCCTTTAACAGCACACTACTTCACGCTATGTTTGTTCTGGCTTTTTGTGCCTTCCTAAGGGTGGGAGAAATCACAAAAACAGCAGGCGCCAAGCAGCACTATCTGTTAGCTGAGCATGTTACTTTCCAAAAAGATTCTGTTACAGGCAATTCCATAAACCTTACAATCCCTCACTTCAAGCATTCTAATCAGTCTACCACTCTGCATATTCAGCAAAACATGGCCAACCCATTGTTATGCCCCTTCTTAGTTCTACAAGCTTTCATGAACATTAGAGGTCACAGTTCACCTGCAGAACCCTTGTTTTCATTCATGGATGGTTCCCCAGTTTCTCGTCAGTTTTTTACTGAACACTTAAAGTTGTCCCTGACATTCTGTGGTCTAGATATAAACAAGTACCAATCGCATAGTTTCCGGATTGGAGCAGCCACGACAGCGGCAGCCTCAGGTTCATCGGACATTCAAATACAAAATATGGGCCGCTGGAAATCTTCAGCGTTTAAGAAATACATCAGAATACCGACCATGAAAATCTGAGGTGGAACAGTCCTATGCCAAACACAATCCCTATTCTGAACAGCTTCGGTATGAACCTTGAAGTCAGGGGCTTCAGGTTCAACACGTGAATACTTTTTAGACACTGGGCGTTTTCCGAATCTTGAAGTCAGGGGCTTCAGGTTCAACATTGCGAATGATATACCGGACACTGCGGGTATTGAACCTTAAGGACAGGGGCCTTAGGTTCAACGATGGGAATTTTCACTCAAATATCAGGCACAATTTAAACCTTGAAGGCAGGGGCTTCAGGTTTATTTCGTTTAAGATGGAACTTTAGATTGAACCGTGGAGACAGGGGCTCCCGGTTTAATGATCATTGCGTAGTTTATTGGTTGTGTTTATGTACGTATTAAAGTTACTTTTACAGTCCCAGTACTTTTTTGCCGGGTGGTGGATGGGGCATATCAAACTGTAGAAGCCACAAGTTTGATAGGTGGCGGAAGATACCCCATCTTTGACACTTTTTGTATATACAATTTGCCAAATTATCTTGTCTCATTACTTTGATTTATTCTAGTCTAAATACTATGTGTATGACTTTTTTATATTCTATTTTTAGGGATGTGGCATTTTTGTAATGTTTAACAAGCCACAACTCCCTCTATTGAATTATGGTATTGTGCTTTTAGTTTGTTGTATTTTTACTGTTTTATTTGCATAATACTTTGTCATTTATTTGTTAAATAAATGACCATTCCAATTCCTCAACTATTAGTTGTGTTTTCTTGTGTCAAACTGAGCACCACCCTAGCAGTTATCCATAAATATACATTTATGAACATAAAACATTTATGGATACTGTTTTCATATTTACCGCCATTGTTTATAAATATAACACTGTTTCCTGTAGTTGCGCGTGCGCATCCTGATAGCGTCACTCGCCATTTTTCATTCTTTGTTTACATATTCCTGTGAAAGTTTTTACCACCTCCCACCCCACCTCCTTTTTCTAGGATTATCGTATTTTTAATATCTGGACTAGTGAATGTTCCCCTTGGTGCGAGGCGGAAGATACCCCATCTTTGACACTTTTTGTATATACAATTTGCCAAATTATCTTGTCTCATTACTTTGATTTATTCTAGTCTAAATACTATGTGTATGACTTTTTTATATTCTATTTTTAGGGATGTGGCATTTTTGTAATGTTTAACAAGCCACAACTCCCTCTATTGAATTATGGTATTGTGCTTTTAGTTTGTTGTATTTTTACTGTTTTATTTGCATAATACTTTGTCATTTATTTGTTAAATAAATGACCATTCCAATTCCTCAACTATTAGTTGTGTTTTCTTGTGTCAAACTGAGCACCACCCTAGCAGTTATCCATAAAAGTCTTCAAGTGATAAAAAATGATGATCCGATAACCGATTCAAAATTTAAATAAATGCATAACATTCTGTAGTGCTTATACGTGTATTTTTTCATGGAAATATATAGTTTTGATTGATGAGACAGAATTTATATTATTTAAAACATTTCTGGAAGATCGCAAGTATTACTGATCAATTTCGTTTCTTAATTATGTCATTGTCAAAACTGCAGGATATTTAGTTTTTGAAAGACATTATTTTAAATTCATTTTTAATTACAAGAATAAATAAATCGTTTATACATGCCTCTTGTAGAAAAAAAATGTATAGGAGATTTTAGCTTTCTAAATGATATTGCTTTAATAAAATCATTCTACTAAGTTTCTAGATAGAGAATTTACAACGATCTTAAATATTTGACACAGGAACAGGTGCCCGTCTCTGATAAATGTCATCATCCCGATAGGAGATGTGTAATTAATTATTCTGTCCCAAAAATCCGCGCAACTAACATAGAATATACAAAAGATATACAAGATATATATACACATCGCAGCTCCTCGATACAACAGGTGAACTGATTGTTCCATCGATTTCTATAAATTAATTGATTTTAAATCTTCATTTTACATCAAGAAGTCGTAGCGTAATTGATAAGGTCGCGGACACCGAAGCAGGAGATCAGGGTTCGATTCTGGGCATGGGAGCAATTTTTTTTCTTGTATTAATTTTTTTCCTATTTTTTTTTATTCGGAATTAGATAAGTTTAATGGTATTATACCAGGAAAAAGTGAAATAAAATTTTTAGGTAAAAAAATAAGCCGATTATTCAATAAAATGATTCAACTGAATGATCACGGAAAGGTCACTGAAATGTATGTGCCATTCAGTCGACTGAATGGTAACTGAATGATCACGGAAAGGTCACGGGAAAGGGTCTTTTCAGTGACCTTTCAGTGACCATTCAGTGGCCATTCGACCACCATTTAGTCGACTGAATGGTGGATTTTTATCCCGTGATTTAAAAAAAATCGTTAACAGTTATCTCTACAGGATCTACAAACTTTGCTGCTCTATGATGACGGTATTCATGTACCTACTAAAGAACGAGATATTTCAAGGCAAATCCTTGGAATCTTGCAACAGATCTGTGGGGATTATTTGGGATCACTGGAGTTATATAAATCTTCGTTACAACAAATACCAGTACTCAACATTAAGGAAGCTACGATGTTTCGAATTAACGCACTTACTCATGACGAGATGTAATTGTTTTAATATTCGATATCCAATAGATAATTTAAAGATTTTTCTTTTTAAGAATTTTCATACAAACTATTTTTTTTTTCATTTTTACTGAACACATGTACCTTTTTTTTATATGAATACGATTTTTTTCTATGTTACTGAAAATCAAATGCTTTCATTATAAATGTTAGGTTATTCATGCAATTTTTTAATGATGAATCTTCAGTACAGTTCCTCGGTTTAATATTATGCAATGATTTTCGCTCAGCTCTTATATAAAAGGAATATCGTAAAAACTTATGACAATTTGAATTTTTAATTCTATGTCCAAATTTTTAGAATATAACGCTAAAGACTATCGGAATATATAGAAAAAACAATGTGTATTTTTTGTAACTTACCTGAATGGGGAAACTTTTTCCTGATCATCTGTTGTCCTGTGTTGTCTTCTCAAGAACCTTTGTGTTCAATCTTAGAAGGAAGCTTTCTAAGAAAGTATAAAGTTTAGGTTATGCAGATCACGATCTCCATTGATATGGTAAGGCAACAAGAGGGATTGATAATTTAATGAAGCTATGGATTTTTTTCAGTTAGATCCAGTATAAGCTGACGTTCTTTCCCTTTTTGTGTACTACATTCTAGTTAGTGGTTAAGTAAAATCATATTATGTGACCGGCCCCTATCTGTGGTTATTTGTAATGCAAATGTATGTAACGTCATTTTTTCAGGGCCACTGCTCTTATTTTAAAAGGAAAACTTTATAGAAATTAATTTCCCTAATTAATCATTTTAATATATAAAACTGTAGGTAAGCGTAACGCGTTGGCCATATTGCCAGAATATTCACCTTGAGGACGGTCGACAGTCATATATAAAGATTATTGAGACTAATACTTAAACCAACCAGAGTGATTAGGTAAAGGGTCACTAGTTTTTTAATCAAGTGAAACCTAAAGCTGTTTATGTTAACTCTTGGTATGAGAAATTTTGACTATGTTGCATTAACTAATAAATAAAAAAGAGAAAAATAGATTGTTTCTTAAACAATGAGGCAATATATATTTTGGGACCGTTCAAAGTAGCTCAGATGGTAGAATGAGTTCGAATATTCGCCTAGACTGACTGAAGTTGATAAAAAATTGGTAGCACCTGTTCCTTTGCCATGCACTCGATACTTTGAAGTGAAAGTTGCGGGTCCATAAAATGAAATCCTAAAATCCGATGCCCATATCAAGCGTTGACACGATGAAGATTCCTCACTGTTCAATGGCCGTAACGGCCGAGTAAAGGTTAAAATTTAATACCCTTCAACAGAATATGGTTACGTTTCTATATGGTGAACGGGACACAAAAAACACACAATCAATCTAGTAATCATATATTTTAGGTATAAACCAGTCCTGCTAAAAAAATACAGAACTTAGCAAGCAACTTCTGTATACAGGGTTATTTTCGCCCCGTCTTATTTTCTCTCTTTAACTCTTGCAAACAATTTTGCCCCGTTTTAATTTCGCCCAGTCATAGTTTTGTTTAAGAAATTATACTGTATTCTTTGAATTCGCCCCGTTTTAAATTCGCCCAAATGAGGGTAGGGCGAAAGGGGCGAAAATAAAACGGGGGCGAAAATTTCCCTGTATACAGTATTGTGTTAACATGTATTTTTACTAGAATTTGACCGGTCACGGTAGCCTAGTGGTAGAGCGTTCGCTTCGTGATCGGGAGGCCCAGGTTCGATTCTCGTTCGCGGCGCCGCGTCATACCTAAGACGTAAACAAAGGTAGTGACTGTTCCTTCGCCAAGCGCTCGGCACTAGAAGTGAAAGTCTCGGGTCTTTCGGATATGACCTTAAAAACGTAGGTCCCGTGTCACGGTAGTCGCTGGCACGATAAAGAACCCTCACTGCTCATTGGCCCTGAGTGCCGAGTATAGGTCTAAATTTGAAGCCCTTCACCGGCATACGGTGACGTCTCCATATGAGTGAAAAATTCTCAAGAGGGACGTTAAACAATATATAATCAATCATACTAGAATTTGAGTTTTGCAAGATGATCCCAATTTTAATAATATTAAGTAAAGTTGTACAATTATACTCGATACTTGTATTTAACAAAACATTTAGCCCAGTGAGGGAACACCAAACGATAAGCCCTGCTTGAACAAAAATGCGAAATTGATGAAAATAATAAAATATAAAAGACCGAACAGTAACTAACCTCAAAAGTCCATTATACAATACAAAACAGGAGCAAAGCAAACACGGCCCTCCGAATCATCAGAGGTGGGATCAGGTGCCTTGCAGGAGTGATCATCTCCTGCTGACCGCTTACACCCGCCGTGTGCTCCTTGTCATTTCAGTATTTAAAAAAAATGGCCTAAACAGTAGTATGAAAAATGTTAGTTAGAAATCTACTCACTGATAAATTTCTTGACACGGTCATTGTATCGACTGAGAACTTACGAAATTATGACTTTAAACGAGACTGCTGATGTTCTTGTTTCATCAACTTTTTGTCAATAATTATCCTAAGCTGAGGGGTTCTAAAATGGCGCTTGAAGCCGTGTTATGTAGGATACGGAGTTTTCGCCAGGAATGAGTGTTAAGTAAAGATGGCCCCTCATAAGTTTTGAGAGCTTCCTTTGTCACTGCTGGACTATTGCAAATGTACAAATTTCATTTGCATGCTTGTTCAGAAGTGTTTTCATGTTCTGAATTTGTAGATCTGCCGTGATAAGTGAGAGGTCTTACTAAACAAGAGGCCCACGGGCCTTATAGGTCTCCTGAGTATTAAGTAACAACTTTCCAACAATTGAATTTGGTTTGTGTTTTAAACCAGCTGAGGTCATGAAATTCACAATTTTGAAAAAAGCACCATTGCTTATCATAATTATACACTTAGCAATGCTTACTAGATAGTTACTTAATACCCATAAGTAGATCAGAGTAACTAAGAGAAAATGCACTTCCATTTTAAACCAGTTGTGCACCCCACCCAACAGGAACCACTGACACTGGGGCCACATATTTCAAAATATTGAAAGTCGTATCATAAATGTTATTTCATCAAATATGGTTGATTAATTAATACTAATGAGCAGATTTCAAATTTCAATTTATTTTCAAACTATGTACCCCCTCTATACCCCTGACCCAGGGGGGATGAAATTAACCATTTTGCTGGATGCACCTTTCATCATAAATATAAATACTTAGATCATTGGCATAATACCCAGAAGCAAAGGAAAACATTTTCAAAGAATTAATGTATTTTTACTATATAATCAAAAGAGCCGCCCCTTCCCTTAAACCAAATAGCAAAACCCCTGACACAGGGGTCATAAAATTCACAAATATGGTTGAGGCATTCTTGGTAATTATAACTATATACTAAGTTAGTTTATTTAAAACCTAGGAGCAGAGGAAATTTTTTTTAAAAAAATAATGTATTTTCACTATATAGTCAATAGAGCCCCTCCCTAACACTAGAACCCCTGACCCTGGGGCCATAAAATTAAAAAAAAATTGGAAGATGCACTCTTGCTCATTATAACTACGTAGTCTACTTAGTTAGTTATGTACTTAGTTAGTTTATTTAATACCCAGGAGCAGAGGAGACAATTTTTGAAAAAAATAATGCCTCTTCATAAATTTGAAAGAGGCACTCTTGATCATCATAACTTTGTACTTAGTTTATTTAATACCCCAGAGCCGAGAAGA